CGGCCTGGTCTACAAAGCAAGTTCCAAGACAGCCAAGGTAATTATAATTATATAGAGAAACTCTGTGTTAAAAAAGAACCAGAAGAAGAAGAAGAAGAAGAAGAAGAAGAAGAAGAAGAAGAAGAAGGGCAAACAAACAAAAAGGATAACTGGTAAAAGCATTTGCTACTAAGCCTGATGACCTAAGTTCACTCTATGGAATCCACATGGTAGAGAAAGAACCAACTCCCAGAAGTTGTCCTCTGGCTTCTAAGTAAGTGAACACATACAGAGACAGAGACGACCGAGGGAGGTAGAGAAAGGAAGGGAGAGAAGAGGATGGGTGGGACAGAGAGGAAGAGAATATGAATAAACAGAACAAAGAGCTATCTGGCCTGGGTACAAATATAAATGAGGGTCAATTCCTTGTGCACTTCAAAGCAGGGGAAAAAATCCAGTTCAGTCTGGCTGTGGAGTGTACAGAGCATGGAAACTTGGGACTAATGCTCACGGGGCAAGGAGCCAGGTGCCCAACATAGCCTGATGCATCATATTAAACAGCATGACAGGGTGTGCTATTGAAATGATGAGGGATGACGACAGTTCTACAAACAGTCCTGAAAGAGCCAACAGGATTTTCCAAATCCCATGCTGCCATGCATCCGACACTAAGCAGTTCAGTCAATACTTGGCATAAGGCGTAGGTAAGTAGGTAAGTCACTTCAAAGATGGGAGAAACTGTGAGAGAAATTAAGTTATGAACTGGAATGAAAGGGAAGAGACTAAAAGACTAGGCTTTCTTTTACCTAAAATATATTTTTGTATATTTACCTGAATGTATGTGCATCCTAGTCTTCCTCTTCTCCCACTGGCTCTCTACCTTCCTCTTTTTTGTCTGCACCATTCTTCACATCTCTTCCAAAGAAATATGTAATTGTAACTTCTCTAAAGTTACATGGTCACCTGAAGCAGTTCTAGAATGGCAGAGGTAGCCATGTGCTTGGAATGCCAGCACTCAGGAGCAAGAGGCAGGAAGATTCCAAGTTTGAGGTGGCATGGTTGAGATAGTGAAATCTGTCACAGGCTACACAAGTTGAATTTGAATCTGAGATTACTCTGAGGGTCCAAATCTGGAATGTGTGTAACCACAAACCTCTGTCCAAAGCTAGATCACACAAGTCCATACTTATGAAGATACCAAGACAGGAGGTATTTACCCCTAATAAATAAAGAAGTTGACTTATTATCACGTTCATTTCTTATGAGTATATGTAAATAAAATGGAGGCTTCCGTGCGGAAACAAGGGCTTCCAAGGACTGCATCATTAGATTAGCACTGTCTTCACTGAGGCCTTAGGACATTTAATGCAGCTATCAAATCTTAATTTACTCATCAAAATACATCCAATCTACTACTGTACAGATACATGTATAGCCATGTTGACTGCTGCCCTACTCACAATAGCAAGGAAATAGAACCAGTCTAGATGCCCAATAGATGCCCAACAGATGAACAAATTAAGCAAACATGAATATATTAAGCAAAGGGACCCAAACTCAAGAAGACAACCACCATGTCTCTCTCATGTATATATGTATATAAACAAGGATGAAGGCTCAAAAACTCTAGAAAGGAGACTAAGTGAGGGTGAAAAGAGATGCCAAGGAAGGAGGGGGGTGATCAAAAGGGCACCTGTGACATGAAAGCAGAAGAGGGATTCAGGGGAGGCAGGGGAGAGGAGGAGGACAAAAGGAGAGAGCAGAGGAGAGGGTGGACAGTCAACTCAAACACAGTCTGTCCTAAATGCCATCACAAATTTATTTCTTACATCAAAAAACCCATTATGATACCTAATACCTTGTATGCTAATTTTAGAATATAAAATTTAGGACTAGTGAGATGGCTCAGTAGTTAAAAGCACTTGCTGCTCTTCCAGAAGACCTAAGTTTGGTTCCCATCACCTACATCAGGTAGCTCAAAGCCAGCTTGGGCTATATCGCCCATTTCAGGCTAGCCTAAATTACAGTGCAAGACCTTTCTGAAATGAAAAAGAAAACAAACAAAAAAAAACCTACACAAAACAGAAAGTTGTTTGACTTGACATCAAATCTTTGAGCAGAACAATCTTTAACTGGCACTGTCTAGTACTGAGTACACATATTCAGTCTGAATGTCATAGTTATTGTCTACTGTTATGAAGAAACACCATGGCCAAGGCAACTTATTAAATCTGGAGACATTTCTCTATTACATTGTAGATAAAGAGAATGAGCCCATAGCTAGCATCCCTTCCTCTCCTACTTCAATAGATTTCTGAACATAAAGAGGTCAGCTGAGAGACAGCGCCCTTCAGGATCAAAGCTGTTAGTGAAGGGAGCGGAGGCTGCAAGGCAGTCTCCTGATAAAGGCAGAGAGAGGCAGAAGTGCAAGGGGAGGCTCTACCATGAGTGACTTCCCAGAGTAATAGTAAGAAGTATGGAAGGACTACACTTAGCTGGTACAGTCACTTGTAAAAGAAACAAGGGGCAGTTGGTAAACATGCCTGCTGAGCAAGCCTGCCTGCCAACTGAGTTGGTCCCATCTCCAGAACCCAGAATCCAGGGTGGAAGGGGAGAAAACTGGCTCCTCTAAGTTGTCCTTTTCAACTCCACACACACACACACACACACACCTGTACTCACACATATACACACCTGCATTCACACACATATGTACACAAACACACTAATCAAAATAAAAATAATAAAAGAAGCACGGTTACTGAGTTATACCATACTACACTAAAAGATAACATTAAGGTGAAGAATGATGGAAGACCCAGCTGAGCTCTGCTCTTCACATGTATGGAGAAGTTGCCCTTTCAAGAGTTCAAAAATTTATTTTAAATCCTACTTAAAGTTAACTGTAGTTCTCTTAGTTTTTACCGAATTCTATACCCAGTCCTTACTTGGTGGGCTATGGGACTTTGCGATTGAAATCTGAAAAATCAATACCACAGGTAACTCTCCCCTTTCCTAGGTTTTCACGCACACAAAGTTTTTGAAATTTCACCTTCCCCCTCTATATATAGGAGTCACATTATTACCAGCTATACTCACTGCAGAAGAACACAATATTACATGAGAGAAGACACATGACATCATTCTTAAACAGCAAAGTACTATATACATACTGGTTGCTACATATAAAACTTCAGGTGGGATTCTGAATAAAACAGGCTGAGAGGAGAATTCTCTTCCATATGAAGAGAGCAATAAGAACAATCTTAAGCTATTAACTAAATATATTTACGGAAGGGACTTAACATAAACTTCAATTAATATTTAAAAGTGTTTTTGTTTTAGGGGGTGGTCTTGGATTTTTTTTTGTTTGTTTGGTTGGTTGGTTGGTTGGATTTTTGAGACAAAGTTTCTCTGTGTATCCCTGTCCATCCTGGAGCTCACTCTATAGACCAGGCTAGCCTCAATCTCAGAGATCTGACAGCCTCTGCCTCCTATGTTCTGAGATTAAAGGCATGGTCCATCACCACCCAGTAAAAAGTTGAATCTTCTGTGAACACATTCACTTTGCACATACAGCAAAGGGAAACTAAGAAAGCACTGTGGATGTTGCTCTGTCTGTGGAGTTCTTGCCTGGCATGCATACAGTCCTGGGATGGACTCTCAGCACTGCCAAGACTGGGCAGTTCCAGCACTGGGGACATAAAAGACAGAAGGACCAGCTATATGGAGAGTTCTAAGTCAACCTGAACTTGAACTACCTAAGGGTCTGCGTTGTTGTTTTTAGAAAAGAGAAGGAGGAAGGGGAAGGGGAGAAGGAGGAGGGAGGGAGGGAGGGAGGGAAGGAAGGAGAGGAAGGAGAGGAAGGAGAGGAAGGAGAGGACAGGAGGAAGGAGAGGAAGGAGAGGAAGGAGAGGAGGGAAGGAAGGAAGGAAAAGAAAGAGCCAGGCAGTGGTGGTGAGGCAGAGGCAGGCAGGCGGATTTCTGAGTTCGAGGCCAGCCTGGTCTACAGAGTGAGTTCCAGGACAGCCATAAAGAGAAACCCTGTCTCAAAAAACCAAAAAGAAAGAAAGAAAGAAAGAAAGAAAGAAAGAAAGAAAGAAAGAAAAAGGAAGGAAGGACGGAAGGAAGGAAGGAAGGAAGGAAGGAAGGAAGGAAGGAAGGAAGGAAGGGAAAAGAGAAGAGTCGGTGCCCAGGTCTCAGCTCACCAAAATAACTGATGAAGTTCAAATGGGGAGAGAGGGTGGAGTTATGACAGTCAGTATACAGAGAATATTGTTGCATAAGTGAGAGAAATCAAGGCGTTATTATTAAGCACAGAACTCTCAGATTACCTGTAACTCATATATAGTCATTTCTGTTTTGGAAGATTACCATTTCTACAGAGGGACTCAAAAATAACGTCTATTCCTTAAGTACCAGACAGAAATAATTTTGTCCCTGACTAAAGTAGTGCTGCTGGAGAGAAAATAAAAGACACCCATAACAATGAGGTCAAGGGTGTTCTAAGGGTGGCCTGGAGAAGGCACAAATCACACATCAGCAAAACAAGTATCATTTCAAAAAAAAAGCTGCCTGTCTTCATCCACTACTGGGGTTTTTCTTTAATTGACCTAAGACGTTTTGATAACTGAGCCACACAAATAAAAAGTTGAATTTTCTGAAAAGGTATCAGGCTAATGACATTAAGTGTGAGTGACATGAAGTACAGGCACAGGACAGAAGATGACTAATCTATAGAGATAACACCAAGGACCAAATCATCAGTCACCATGACAACTCAAGTAGGTGGAGGGAAATACAAACACTGACCAGTCACCCAGGTGACACCAGTCCTTCAAGTAAAGACCCTAACCCTGGTTATGAGTGGAAGAAGGTGGCCACGAATGTGAGTTGACTGAAGTGGCATGGTCTTTGCAAGAGGGCTCTCCAGTGGCACTAATAATACTCTTGGTGAGGCAGCTCACAGGGTCACAGGCTTGCAGGTCAAAGATCCCACACAACCGAAAGAGAAGTCCTACCTGGTGCAGGGCTGTCAAGCCGTCCACGTTGACCGTGTTGATGTCCGCACCTCTTGCCAGAAGCTTTTTCACCTCATCCGTGTCCCCGCTGGAGCAGGCAGCTAGAAAGACCGCACCGTCCTCGAAGCGGACCCTGGGGCTCCCGCGTCTGGTCTGCAGCTGGCGCCCCGCGCCCTGTCGCTCCGCGGGCTCCTGCTCTGTCAGCGAGCCCCGCCAGCGCCGCAGCTGCTCAGCCCGCCGCGCTCGCGCCGACTCTGCTCGCTTCCCTCCCAGGTGCTCCAACTCCGCCATGGCTCGAGCTTCCGCAGCTGCTGCCAAAACTACCACCACAAGCCTGTTGGTAGCCCTGTGTGGCCACCACCGCCTCCCTCGGAGGGCTTCAGCCAGGGAATGAAGGCGGAGGCCCCCGCGCCGCCATCTTTACTCCTCCCGCTACAAGCACCGCCCACATGCTCCTGTAGCTTCAGCACGCAGGCGCTGCCCAAGCCCCGCGTCAGTAGGGGACTTGTAGTAGGAGACCTGCCCTGAGGGCGCACTGGAGCCCTATGGGAACTACATATCCCTGGATGCATTAGAAACCATTCAAGGACAAGCTGCAGCCTCCTCAGAGGCTGGATCTAGCACCTATGCCTGGAAGAAACTGCAACTGTCTCCCAGACCCAGCGGCAACCTCTTTCTCTAAGCATTTTGGGAGTCGTAGTTTTTTTTTTTATTGTAGCGCTCACTAAGCTTAGCTCCCTAATTAACACTTAACACTTGAAGAGTGAAAAAGCAGCAGTAATTAGCCTTATTTTCTAAAAGAGAGGACTAAACATGAAGTACTAGAAGGACGAGAATTCATGTCCTGGTTTTACATCTAGTTTTATTAACATGTATTAGTTATAAATGTTCATGGAAAACAGTATGCATGCACACACATACAGTATTATAGTTTTGCATAAATTATTTTCAATATGACATTCATTCCAGGTCCGTAAAGATTCCTGACTGGTTGAAAATTTTCAGTTCACAAATTTCACCAAAAAATGTGAACATGATTAGGTTGTCATAAAGGGAAGTTTTATTATTTCCTACCAAATGAACACTTGCCTGTTGTTCATTTTCTATTGGAAAAAAAAACTAGGAATCATATGTTGAAGAAATAAGTAATGCCAGGCAACTAACACCTATAACCCCAGCACCCAGATTGCCAGGAGTTGTAGAGTAGCCTGGACTAGACAGTGAGTTCAAGGTTAGCCTGGGCTACAGAGTGAAACTTCTCAATCTACTCCCCTCTAAAAAACAAAACACAGAAAAGAGGGAGGAGAAAGAAAATGAGAGGGAGGGAGAAAGAAAGGGAGGAAGGGAAGGAGGGAGAGACAGAAGGAAGGAAAGAGAGAGGGAGGGAGGGAGGGAAAGAAGGAGGGAGGGAGGAGTAGTGCTGATTTGTTCTCTCAGCTCCTGGGAGCCTCAGGCAGGAGTATAAGGCAAGGAGTTCAAAGTCATCCTTTGCTGCACAGGCAGTTCCAGGCCAGCTCGGACTACATGACACTTTGTCTCAATAAAACAAAAACATTTTAAAAAGTAATGAGATTTTCTTGGAAATTTGTTAACATGGTACCTCTTCTTATTAATAATTAAAAGAACCCAAGTTCCCAAATAGAACTCTGCCAAAACGATAAAAGAGATATTGATATCAAAATAACGCAGGAACTGGGCATGCTGACACACATCTATTACCTTGGTGGATCTAGAGTCTGAGATCAGCCTAAGCTGCCAAAGGAGACTGTCTCAAATACAAACGCATAGACAGATTAGGAAAGATGAGGTACCCATCAGCTAGCTCTCTTTGCAGCCCCTGCCCTGGTTAATAATGTGGCCCTAGTAAATGACAGCTACTCAACATTGTATCTCACTGCCGCTTTATATTTTGACAATACACTTGCTTCTAGTAAGAACTTTTAAAGTTTGATAAAGTTTTCAGGGACCAATAATGTCACACCTTGTAGAACTATGTTCTGTTTGATTTGGTTTGAGATGGAGTCTCATTTACTCAGGCTGGTCAAAGATGAATGTGAAATCCTGATCCTCCTGCTTCCACTTCCCATGTTTTGACTGTGTTCTTTTTGCATATTCATATTCTCTCTCTCTCCCTCTCCCTCTCCCCCCCTC